CAACCAGCAGTTAACGGAACATTCGCCGTAAAACCGAGACCATCGCCCTGGCCAATATCTGTGAGTTGACCAGAGCCTGGATAGAACGGTGCTTGATGTACTGACGCATAAAAAACACGTGCGTCATCAATAAAGATATTCTCTGTGCCATTACCGTGATGGACATCCGGGTCAAAAATAAAGATACGTTTAACACCTTGGTTTAATGCAGCATAGCTAGCAAGGGCAACATTATTAAAGTAACAAAACCCCATAACACGATGACGTTCTGCATGATGGCCCGGTGGCCGAACAGCACAAAAAGCAGTCGTATTTGAATTATTCAGGACGTTCTCTGTCGCCTGAACAACAGCACCAGCTGCATGTAAAGCAGCATCTACCGTAGCTTTTGAGGTCTGGGTATCGCTATCAAACGAGATACATTGACCTTGGGCATTCAAAACCCGTTCAACATGATCTGGATGATGAGCTTGATAAAGTAAGTCGGGGGCCACAGGCTCAGGGCACTGCTGCTCTAACCGGTTGTAGATCTGTCGTGCTTTTAAACCCGTTGTAATAGCTGTCACGCGTGCCGCACATTCTGGATGTGCATAGCCCGTGTCGTGCTCACGAAAAAGATCACAGTCGTAAAAATGAACTTGCATAGACGCTTAGTTATACCTTAGGTTTAAGCTTTATCCAATATCATTGTTTCTAGTTCTGTTTTGGCCTGCTCTAGATCCGCTTTGGCTTGGTATGGTTATTAAAATGCTAGATCCGTTACGATATATTCTATGAAAATTCGTGTAGCTACTATACTAGTTTTAGTTTTTTTAGCAGCCTGTATGCATTCACAGCGCGTCAAATTTCGGCCAGATAAAATTGCTACAATTTTAGAGCAAAATCACACCACCGAATTAACGTTAGATTGGCAGAGGTTAACCCAGAAATCAACTTGTGTTGAATCTCAGACCGTACTATCTATAGTACATCAGCGTTATGAAGATATTGTAGATCATCTACTTGGGCTACAGCTTGTGTGTGCATTAATACATACAGACTTGCCAAAGGCACAAAAGCTGATTAAGCAGCTGAAGCTCCTACCTGAAGTCCATTCAAATTGGTCATTGTTGAGTAGTTGGATTCAGTGGCTTAGCTCTGATAGTAAAAGTATGGCTACGATACCAGATCGTTTTCCAACTGTTGGTGCTGCATCATTGGCTGAAATGGTCGTTAAACAGGTTCGTTTACATCAAGATCAAGTCTGGGCACATGAGGTCTATACACATTTTCCGTATTGGAGCCAATGGTCTCAGGATGATCAAACATTTTTTGACACATATCTTGCACGTCCGCAGCGTTTTATTGCAGCACGTAATCTTGTTGCTAAAGGGCACCGAAAAACAGCGTGGAAGTTGTTAAAACCACTCTGGCAGACATCTAACATTGTCGAACCTGGTAAAAAAATACAACAATGGTGGCCGGGAGCTACAGATGAAGATAAATACTGGTTTGCAAAACTTGCATTTGATTTGCGCCATTATCAGACGGCTGCAGTATCTGCACGTAGCCTGTTTATGGTAAATAAACAGGCAGGGCCTGCCCTGCTGCTTTGGGGGAGAGCTCTTGTGCGTCAAGGGCAAAGTTCCAAAGCAATAAGTATCTGGCTAAAATATCGTTCACAAGTCCAAGAACAAGTTGCGTGGATGCAAATTACCTACCGCTTAGGGTTACTGACAGAAGATCGGCGTCAGATTGAAAAAGCAATTGGTTTTTACCAAGCAGCTGCAAAGAAAAGACCTTTTGTTGCAAGAGAGCGAGATGAGGCGGCGTTTAGGGCAGGTTGGCTTGCCTATCTTCAAGGGGATCAAAAACGAGCTGAACATATTTGGAAACTTGATCTTAAAAAACAACCCGGATTTGTGGCAAAACGTCGCTTATTGTATTGGCTAAGCCATTCAACAGATAATTCAAAAAAATCAGATAAGTGGCAACAGCAACTAAGTCAAGAATCACCGCTCAGCTATTATGCTTGGCTAGCCCATAAACACTCTTTGAGACGAGTCAAACAAAATGTTTTTTGGGAGAATTTTGTTGATATTGAGTCGGTCATTGCAAATGCACATCCTAATGTTGAACAGGTGCATTTATTAACAAAGCTCGGATTACTTCCTGCGGCACGTCTAGAGTTAAACGATATGCTCTCAGAATTAGAAGAGCACCATCAACGTTTGGCGCTATTAGCACTTGGTGAACAACTAGATATGGCGGATCTCACCGTAACTAAATTTTGGGAATTCTATAAGCCAGCATTTCGCTCTCAAGCACCAAACTACTATCGCGAGTTTTGGCAAATTGTGTATCCACGACCATTTCAAAAACATGTCTATGAAATGTCAAAAGAGATTCGTGTAGATCCAGCTTTAGTGTATGCCATTATGCGTGAAGAGAGTCGATTTAAGGCTGCTGTAATTAGTACCTCTGGAGCCATTGGGTTATTACAGATGATGCCAGCAACAGCTACTCAAGTAGCAACGCAACATGATATTGTTTATGAGGGTGCTGTAAATTTACAGGTACCAGAAACCAATATTCGTTTGGCAACCCATTATATAGCAATGCTATATAAACGTTACAAAGGTAACCTTGTTAGTGCGATTGCAGCCTATAATGCGGGCCCTAAAGCTGTAGACCGTTGGCGCCAACGTTACCCTGACCTTAGTGATGCTGCTTTTGTTGAAGAGATTCCCTATTTAGAGACCAAACGTTATGTTGTGAAAGTCTTACGCAGCTATATTCGCTATCGCGTTTTATACGAGAATAGTTATTCTTCTTCTCTTCGGCACAAGTTGACAAGATAATAATAATTAAAAAACGCTGGGAGAACGTCATAGGCGAAGACAAGATGGGTAAAACTGGCGTTATACGTAGCATTAAGTATTTATTGCGTGCATTGCATTGGTTAGCTGCCTTAGCCTTATCACAGCAATGCCAGCCCAAGCCGCTACAGATTTTTTGCCTGGGCAGGATTGGTATACTTTGGCTGATGGTCCTTTTCGTTACCATTACACCGATAAAGCACGACCCTGGGTAGAACGATTATTACCAGTTGCCAAACGTTCTTTTGAGGCACTTGTAACCTGGACAGGGTATAGACCAACACAACCGATACATGTCGTTATTATTGTTGATAATGATTTTGCAAATGGCTCAGCAACGCCGCTACCACATAATATTATTCGTCTTTATCCAGCAGTGCCTCGGCAGCCTTCCGTACTTCAAGAGTATGATGATTGGCTGACGCTGCTGTTTGTACATGAATTAACCCATATTTTTCATCTCGACTGGCATGAGTTTCCAACAACGGTTTTTCGTAAAATTTTCGGACGTCAATTTATCTTTTCTGTTCAGACAAAAAACCTGACGGTTCCACTTTACCTTGGGTTTCCAAATGGTGCTTTGCCCGATACCTTAATTGAAGGTTATGCTGTTTGGCTTGAAGGGGTAATAGGTGGACAAATTGGGCGAGCAAATAGTCCTCTGTCTCAGTCATTACGGCGTAATTTTGCTCGAGATCAAGCATTACCAACACTTGGTGCTGCCATTGGCCAACGTCGAGATTTTCCAGGTGGGCAGACTCCGTACCTATTTGGAGGTGCCTTTCATAATTATCTAGAAACACAATTACAAAAAAATTGGTCAGATTTTTATCGACTAAATGCACGTGGGTTATTTCCATATCTGTACGGCTTACCATCATTAATAAAATTTGATAAATCACCTCTAGATCTTTGGAACCATTGGCGATTAAATGAACGAATTTTGGCAAAACAATTTGATCAGAGGCGACAGCTATATCAGAATGGCCAAGCTCTATACGGACCTTTTTTAAGTGCACGTGCCTTACAGTTTGATGCACAAGGACAGCTATTTTTATCTGTACGTGATGGAGTCTCTCACGATAAAATTATTCGCCTAAACGAGCAAGGTAACAAAACAATCGTTAAACGGAACGGTGGTAGTGGCTTTAGTTTTGGACCTGAAAATAGTATTTGGTTTGATGAGTTCCGTCGGCAACAAAGTACAGCCCGTGTTTCGACATTGTCGTACACACAGGGCCGTCGAGTTCGGCAGTCTGGTGGTAACCATTTATTTGAACCTGATCTTCAAGGCGACAAACTTGTAGCGATATACCGGCAAGAAGAGGTTTACTGTGTTCAGCTATTTCATGTGCCGAAAGAGCAACTAATATCGCAGTATTGCGCACCCCCATTTTCAGCATTGCATGATCCAAAACTAAGTCCCGATGGTCAGTTTGTTGCAATGACGAGCTGGAGCCCTAAAACGCATCACGATATTCAACTTTGGCATATTGCATCCGGTGCTGTCACAACAATCGCGGCCTCAGCAGCTGATGAAACACAAGTACAATGGAGCAAAGATGGCAAAAATATCTATTTTATTAGTACATATTCCGGTGAACCAGAACTCTATAGCGTAGCGCTTGAAACAGAGGACTGGCTTCAGTTAACACGGACTCAAACAGGTGTTTGGGATTACGCTATTGGTTCTGATTTACAACTAGCATACCTTTCTCCACTCGCTTCTGGTTGGTATGTATTTCAGACAAGCCTCACCGAGAGTGGTCTACCTGTTTCGTTCGAGGCCTTACCGCCTCAAAATACAGGTTTAGCTACGACTGCCGTAGCAACAATTACCGAAACGACAACAGCACAAGCATTCACACAAGAGACCGCTTATCGTGCACTAAAAACACTTTGGCCAACAAGTTGGACGCCAACATTACGTTTAGGCTCAGGTATCCAAGGAGCTGCCGGGTTCTCTGTTTACGGCGTTGATGTGTTAAGACAGTGGTCTTGGCGTCTGAAGTTACTAGTCAACTGGTCAGGAGAGGTCGATACGGATTATACCGTAGCTTATAATAGAGGCGCTTGGGGGATAGATGGTTTGGGGCTATTTCAACCAGTTACGGTTTCGTTAAGAACAGGGCCTAAACGGTATTACCGGCAACGTCATGAGCTCGGAGTGACGTATGCTTGGCGCCAAATAGATATGATTAACGGTTTACGCCTACATGTCGCAGAAGAGCAAGTAGTCCATCTAAATCAGCCATTTTTAGACATCGGCCTGTCTTTTTTTCATGACAGCCGAAAACAGTATACATGGTCTCTTATTCCTGGTGATGGGTTGTTAGCTCGGTTGCAGATTGCGGCTGATCTCCCTTTTGACAATCGAAAATCGGATGGACGTCTGGAGCTAATAACGGCAACAGGTGGGTTTTTATTTCGGCGAGTTCAATGGCAAGTTCAAACGACTGCTGGACTTGATTTACGACGCTTAGGGCGCAGTTTTACATTACAAACACCAGAGAATATTTCAAATACTGCACGCCATTTTTCAGGGCGTGGTGTACCAACAGCACAAACAGTTTTAGGCGTAGGAGAAAGTTGCCCTACAGCGAAAACATTATGCGGTATTGATCGGTTTATCCTTTGGGAAGCCGAAATCCTTTGGCCTTTATGGTGGGTTCAAAGAGCGCCAGCTTCGTTACCCATATATGTCGACCAACTTCATCTCAGAACATTTTTAGCCGGCTCACACTTTGAACGCTATGCATATTTACAGGGTATTGGAACTCAAAAAC